TCTGGTCAATGAGGGAACTGGTGGATTCCACTGCAGTAATTATCTCCAAAGTGGGCACAGATGTTGGCGTAATGGCAAAATTCAGGCCTTTCCTCAACAAGGATTCCTCTATTCCCGTGAGCGGGCGGGAACTCATGTTGATGACGTTGGTGGCTTCATAGTTGTCCTGTTTTCGGTCTGTATTTGGGCATTGTTTCCTCACTAACTTCCCCCACTTTCTGTTGTGGGTATTCTCCATGTCTTGGCGGATCTTCAAGCACGTCCTTTCAATCTTGGCAAAGATTGGTCCATGATCATCTTCCAATGTCTCTCTTCTTATTTCTTCGAATCGTTCTGTGGCATCCTGCAGCAAAGTTGACCTCTTCCAACGGTGATAATTGATTTGAGACCTTATCAGTGCTCGGCTGGCGCGTTTCAATATGCGTTTGGGTCTCTCTCCTGGGATTGGCGATTTCAGTAGAAAACCTTTGGGGATGATGTTATTGTCTCTGGCTCTGCACAGAAAACTGAGGTCAATCACCTTCAAACAAACGTTGAATACCCGGTACGGACCCGGAACCAGCGACTTATTCCGAGGATATGAGAAGACTATGGTCAAGCTTACAAAGGAAGAAACTCACCTCAGTTTTCTGAGAAACAAGTGCAAGAAATGCATTGGAAGAGAAAATTAATTACACATGAAATCAAAATAACACAAAACGCAATAAAAACGTTATTTTAAATATATTTCTGGCATTAGACATTTTTATATTGATATCACAGAAATTTAAGTAAGTGTTTATAAACCCGTTAACTTTCAAATTAATGAAAAAATTCTCTACATGAAATGTAGACCTAACCTACCTTTTATAAAAGGAAACATTCTTTAATTAAAAAATTGTAACAAACAAATCCGATTATAACAGTTGACAACAATAACAACAAAAATGGCGTCTGTCAAACGGGATCACTATAATTTTAGTTTTGTGATTAGGTATTAAAAACTCAGAATAATAATAAGACATAGAGATATGATTATGAAAATGAGGCCAATTTTTCTACCACCTTCTAGATTTTTATTTATGTATGGCTTTATAATAAAGCGCGTGGTTTAGTGGGTTAAAATTAAATCATTTCAAATGAACTGTTTCATAACAATGATAAATGTTAATTTCAAAAGTAATAAACTTTGCTTCGTAAAATCAGATGAAGAAATTTGTGATTTATTCTCAGATTTGATGAACAAGCAGTATGGTTTGATATTATTAAGTGATTTAATTCAAAATTGGTATCCAGGGATCTTTGTGGACCGACATTATGTTTTTTTCTATATAATTCATGCTGACGAATTCTATAATTACGAAAAATCATTAATGTAAATGAAAAAAACTGTATTCAAACATGAAAAATATGTTTTTCATATGTGTGCTATAGGATAGGTCATATTCATTCTGTGATCAACAGACTAAAAAGGTTTCTGCTCAATGTTCAGTTTGTATACTAAATAGTTATTCTTGTGCAACCGGTGTTAAATCTGTTATTGCTCACTTAACAACTAACTTACGTCACACAAAGAATATGATTTTCGTTTTGGTTTTCTTTCTTTGCACGAGGCTCTCAAGTTGCATATAGACAATATTCAATAAAAAATGACGGTTGCCATTTTTCTAACATTTTTTTTGGTAGTCAAATAATGAAATAATATAAACCTAGTTTCAAAAACTTTATTTATAAGAATAAGATCAAAAAAATGATCATGAAAAACATCAAAAATATGCCCTTTCATAATGTCGGTCCTCAAAGACCCCTAGAAACCAATTTTGAATGAATTGGCCTTATTCCCATAATCATTATTAATAAATCAGATTTCTTGTAGGAACTATTTGAACAGAATACATTTTCGCCTGAAATGATTTATTTTATAACTATATACTATCCCTCCGATTATCAACTATACTAACCGCCACTGTGTTATGGTCCAACTTACTTCCCGTAAATAAACAAAGTTATGCTGCCTTCAATAAAAGGATGGAAAATGTCTCTCGATTGTTTTTTGTTACTCTGAGTTTTAGTTCTGTGACTGGATATTAAAAACCAAAACACTCGGCAACACCGCTGTAGACACGATGAATTTTATTGGTTAACAGACATGCGGCCAATTTGAACTCTTGCTACTCGAAGTGTTCTTTTTTCTGCAAATGTAAAGATATCCTGGGACCAATTAAGCTTGATAAGTATAATATACTCCTAAATCGATCAGTCTATAGGCAAACCAGTATCTTTTTCAATAGCATGAAACAAGTCCATTGGCAACTAACCCTACTTTTCATCGAAAAATCATCATTTCTGGATAAATAGGTACGTGAACAAACAAAATTGTCGAATTTGGAACGGTGATCACCAACTTCTTTTGGCCTGAATTGGGTGATCTGGACAGGTGGTTTCAACAGGACGGCGCTACGGGCCACACAACTCATGCCACATTGCGATTTGAGGGCATGGCCATCTCACGTGGAGGCGATTTGACCTCTTTAGACTTTTTCTTGTGGGGTTTTCTTAGGTCGCAGGTACAGGCAAATTTGCTACAAACCACAGTGGTCCTTAAAGCCAACATAACCATGCCAGAATCATGGAAAATTGGACGTGGGGGACATTTGAATGATGTAATATTCCACGCATAATGGCATCTATAGGTCTTTCAAAGAGTTCCGTGGTGGCCGTAGTAGTGGTCGGACAAAGAAGGTACGCGGATACCGTGTGCTATCGTAGGGCTCCGTTTTGTGTTGTGCTAGTCCATTGTGTTGTTTACGGATATGTGTGTCTTTAAAAAAAAGTGATGAATAACGGGCCCCCTTTATTCACGCCGGTATCCAGGCCGGGATGGTTCGGATAACCACGTAAACAGGGCTGTTTATGTGAAAAGAAACCAAAAGGTCTCCCAAGCAGTAGCGACTACATAAAAACCAAATTGTTTTTATTATTCAAAGAATTGTTTTTATAATGAAAAAAAAGTTAGATTAAAACGAATACTAAATTTCGATAATATCTCACACAGACTTTGTTTTATTCAAATTCAAAGATAGGAAGCCCTCAATGAAAGCCTAAGAAACATTTCATCAGCCGACCTTGTGATTGCAAAACATAATTTTCGATAATAAACTTGACTTGAATTTAATTGGTACAAAATTGTGCAGAT